CGGAGTGAAAGTAGCATATTAGTATAAGTGGATTGTTTACATTAATTTAGCAGAAATGTATGAATATCCAAGCTATTATAAGAAGTTTTTTTAAATGTGTATTTTATCTTCATCTCTAAAAACAACATTTAATATGATGGTATATAATATCATAACAGTGGATCAAGGAAGATCGGAAAATGTGTTAAAGGAATCGCTGTATTTTTTTTTTTCAACACAACAATTTTTTTTCTTCAATTTCCGCACCAAAACAAAATTAATCTTAAAAGCCAATACTAAAGAATAAAATCCTTTTAGCTTAACGTTCCGCATTTGTGTTTACATCAAGCTATCCTGCTTTTTTAGTATCAGTTGCTCTTGTATTTTCTTCGTGTTACATCAATATGGAGCTAGATCGGTAACAAAAATGTGAATGGCACAAAAATCCCAAGAATATTGCGATCGAACTATATCAAGAACTATACATTCTAAAGCAATACAATATAGTGTTACGTATATACGCATTCAAATTTGTATTTACCCCACTTGCAAAGTTAAGTCGATACATTGAATAACCTTTACAAGCTTCTCACAACAACATTCTCATTCCCTTTCTCAACCTTTTTTTCCGGACGCTGTTGTAGGAATTGCTTGTTTTGTTTTTTTCGTCAGTTTTTTTGTATACTTTATACATTTCATCTGAAATTTCCGTAGCTATCCCACATCTATTGCATGAAACCATCGTGTTTTTTTCGTGAGTATGCAAGGATTCTGATGTAATTCAATCTAGAGAGAAATATACCCGAAATCGGTCTTGGAGAAGTGCAAGACCAAGACCAAGACCGCCTAGTTGTTCCAAGACCAACAATTGTGGCCTTTATATAAGACTAAGACTTATTTAAAAAATCAGTATTTTTGTGAATAAAAATTATGAGAAAATAGTTATAATATTAAATACTAAATAATTTTAATTAGTACATGTGAAGAATTGGTAGAACCAATATACTTTTGTATTTAACTCTTCCGATTTTTCATTCGTAGATTAGTTAGGTTTCCTGTTTGTTAAATATGTTATTTTTAATGAACATATTTAAAATTGAAAAAAAAATGTTTAAAATCGGTATGAAAGTCATGTGAGTAGTGTTGCCCAAAATCGGTCTTGGTCTTGACTTGACGAAGACCAAGGCCGCTTAACTGTTGCAAGACCAAGACCAGGACTGGTAAAAAAAATATTTTTTTTTAATAAAAATTAATTAAAAAAGTTACTAATACTTGACAATCTTAGTTACTGTATGTTAATAATTGATATAATTAATACACTTCTGCATTCAACTCCCTTAATTTTTCATTCGGGCTTCGGGGGGGGGGTTCTCCTATCTAAAAAAATACAGCAATATCTCTATAGTAATAAGCTAATAAGTAACTGCAAGACTGTTGAGAGAGCCTTGCGCAAGACTAAGGCCATGACCAAGACTGAGTTTGCAAGACCAAGGCTCGTCTTGGTCTCGCATTTGGGCAACACTACATGTGAGTGGGTACACCATATTTGTTAGATAGATTTTGTATATATTTTCTTTACTCTACAACTCTTCCATTCCTAAGTGGGACATATCTTTCTTGACAATACCTTTAATGTAATGTCAAGTTAATTTTATTAATTTGTTTGGACTTTACTGTGTTTATGTCAGTATAAAATCTAAATGTACTTAGTTTTTCTCTAGTTGTATTTCTAAGAACTAAAGTAACATATTTAATAAATAGCAATAAGGTTATAGGTAACTAACTGCAAGACTCTTGACCAACTCCTGTATTTGGGTAACTCTAGTCCTTGCTTCCTAGGTTTATTTGATTTTTATTTTTGGAACTGTTATTTGGGATGTGACCTCATAGGTAGTCGAATATATCAACATTTTTTTATTGGAATAATTTCTTCAGCAGCAACATTGAGACCGATTTTATGTTAGGCACTATGTATGACACGATTGGTTATGTTAGGTTACCAGTTGTCCTAGGTGATCAACAACTTGGTTATTACGCCCTTGAGCTATGATGTTATTATTTGTAAAAAAATAAAAGTTTCTTTTTATGTATTTCATTAATTATTATATTCTATGGTACAATTGGGGTTTGTTTTAAAAGTTTCATAATATTTTCTATTGAATTTACTGAGTATTTATTACATTACATTTAAAAGGACTTTAGGAATCACTTAAACACCATTTCATATAGGTAGTTAGTTCCTTTCGTTTTTTCCAAAGTATTTATCGTTATTTTTATGAAAAAAAAAGCTTTCGGGCTGAAGCCTCCCAAAATTAAATCCTGAATCCGCTAGTGAGTCAGTGTAATTTCATTCCACATGGACTCCCAATTACTCTGTCTTTTAGCAATGTTTTTACATCACTCGACTCGTATATTTGGAGAGGTCGGATATTCATACGAGCAGCTTTATCCGCTGCCTCATTTCCTGGTATCCCAGAATGTCCTGGAGTACAGAAAAAAATTACACTTTTATTAAGGTTGTTTATAATTTCGAATGTATTGGTGGATTCTGTTTATTGTATGTCCGGTTTTAGTGAAGTTTACTATACTCTGAAGAGCGGAGATTGAATCAGAACATATTACTATTTTCGAGCTTTCTGTATTTATTGATAAATGTAATACTGCAGAAATAGCCTACAATACTGCTGAGACGATGGCGGAGATGGTTGGTTGTACCAGAGTCGAACTGTTAGATTCGCCGAGTCTTTAGTTAATTATTTATCATTATAAAACTGGGAATAATTGTTTTTCACTGTACTGACCTCGGTGCAAATAAGATTTTAGATTAAACCTTATGTGATAAAAATTTCATGTCCACGCAACTTGTTTAATATGTGATTTCAAAGTTAATTTTCAGGTCTAGGAGGATTTTAATAAACATCTACTTGTTCATATAAGTTTTTATGAGCACGTCTCTGTTCAAGACTGGCTCATATAAGATAACCTCATATAAGAAAGGTTTTATATTTCATAAACACTAACCACCCTTTAGGTTTTATGAGACCAGCGGTCGGTAAAAGTGAAGACAACAATCGAAATTGATTTTTTTTTTTTCAAATTTTGCAACAATTATGAGTCTTTGTATATTACAAATTATAATATTGAAACTATTCAAATAATCTCTAAAGACAACGAGAATGGAGTGACCACTTTATTCCGATACTAAATAGAAACTCAAGACTACAATAGAATATAACTCTCCAACGATCCTCTAGGGTAGAGGCATTCACAAAAAAAGAAAAATAAAAAAAGGAAAAAAAAGCTCTTTAATCATTAGATCCAAATAGTTCTACATTATTTTTCCTTCACATCCAACTTTTAAGCTCATAGGCCATTTTCAAGAGAAGATACCTTATTTTAAAATCAAAATCAAATCATATGGGCTAGATTACCCTTGTTGGAATACTTAATTCTGTATTGGGAGAAAGAAATTTAGTCCATATGATTTTACTTTTATATTTAAATAATATCTCTTCCCTTGAAAATGGACTAAGGGCTGAAAAGTTGAATGTGAAGTAAAAATAATGAACGACTATTAGGATCTAGTGTTTGTTTTTATTATAACAAATAAAATGAAGTCCTAACCAGCAAATATATATATATATATATATATATATATATATATATATATATATATATATATATATATATATTAGAGGGAGAGACAGAGAGAGAGAATCAATTTTCATGAAAGGGTACTGCCAAATTATATTGGGTTGCTTCATCACCCCTTATTAATCACATCAATTATATAGTATTAACAACATATATGGGTATAGTATACAATATATATATATATATATATATATATATATATTTTTTTTTTTTTTTTTTTTTTTATATGTATATATATATTTTTTTTTTTACTTTATTTCTTTCTTTCATTCATTTATTAGTATTCTACATCCCTTCCTTTCCTTTCTCTCCCCTTATACATTTTGCTTACTCCTCCTCATACTCTCTCCTATCTCTTCCTACCCTAATTCATAAAATGCATACAAATGCATAAATAATCTTTTTAATAACATCCATAATAACTTAATAATTTTTAAATCGATACTTGCACTATGCGACATTTTGTTAAATATCAAAAGTTGAAAAAATATCAATTAGATTATTCCACAGGTATGGCTGAGAGAAATAAGCTGAATTATACCATTAAAATCAGATGCGAAAAATTATATATATATATATATATACACGAAAAATAAATAGTGAGAAATTGTGTATAAATTGACGCAAAATAGTTTTGTTTTGAAATATTGGAAACTATTGTTTCCAATGAAAAACGAAACAAAAACTACTTAACAATAGATTTTGAAGCGGTATAGATAGATTTATTTTATTAGAAATAAAATTAAACTGAATAGTGAAAGCAGCATCTTTTATGAAAAAGTTTACGAAGTTATCGCTTGTATCTCTGAGACGACTATCTTTGTTTAAATTAAGAGTTTTGACCAACAAATCCTCTTCTTGTCATTAAAGGAGCAGATTCTTATATATATATATATATATATATATATATATATATATATATATATATATATATATATATATATATATATATTATACCTGGAGTTAGATCTAGAATTTAGTACTCTGTCAATGTCCTTGGATGCCTGATGGTTTTTCGTTATTTCAATGATTTATTCGAGGAAACTGACCAGAGCTTGAGAGAAAACAGCTGTTATTGTTAGAAATAAATTAAATGTCATAGTGGCCAAGCGACGGTAAACCTATTCAGATGTATTTTTTTAAAAAATACTTTAGGAAACATTTACAATTATTATTTGTTGTCAGAGTTTGCGTTAATATACATACATTATGATTCATTGCTTTGTTCTTAATTAACAACTCCTAATAGAAATAAGTTCTACCATTGTTGGAGTTACGTCAGGCCATGTGTTCTCCTAATGAGCCAATGATAAGACAGACTATATAGGCTGCTGTCCACCAGTAGCCCTGTATACATTGCAACAGTCCCCGTAGAGCAGTGTTCATCAGTCTTAATACAACAAGGTATGTATCATTTACGAAAACATTAAAAAAAAAATAAAAAAAATCAATAACAAGTCTACTTATTCAATATTAGAGAACAGGTTTATAAAAGATCACATGAAAATAATTATTGTTTTATTCATGTTATAAATAGATAATTAATTTGGATAATTATTTTTTGGACAAAAGGTTTCAAATGTTTCTCAAAAGCTTCACCAAGGCTATGCTTTTGAGTACATATCGATGACGTGGTTTCATGCGTCAATCTAATTCGAAATAATCTTGTTTAACGTTCGATTTTTACATGATTATTCTTTTGAATGGTTCATATTTTCCGAAAACTTTTTTAAAATGGTCCATGGATGACTTGTACTATAAATATGAATATCTAGCTAAAAATGTTAAATATTCTTTTATAAAAATTAAGAAATAATATTTTATATTAAAATGGTAAACATAAGGTGAGATTTTTGAAAATGGCCAAAATAAGGCCGAAACGACGTTACAAATAAATAAATATGTGAAGTAACTTAATAAAAAGGTTAATTTCTTTTTATATTTTTGGGATAGATTGGGGTCCTAATATAATAAATAAACTGATTTTATTATATACTTTGCATAATTATGTTTCTTGAATTGATCGTTTAATAACACATTTGATTATTAATTTTATTAATTATTTGAATTTTGCATTATAATCACAATAAAGTATTTTATTTTATATTTATAACACTACGGGAGGGCGGATAGATGGTGCTCCCGGGCAGGATTTGGCATTTGAGCGGTACTTTGGAAACTTCAAATTAATTATTTGGGATGCTTTCTTACAAATTTAAGCAATTATTTTAGCAAAAAAAAAAACATCGCTACTGTTAGCGGAAAAGGTCGTATGTAAAAATTGATTATTTCTTTATATTTTTTTAGTACAATTTCATATTTTATTTCTTTCCGCTATTTTCGATTCGTAGCAGAATACTTATAACAGTTTTAGACTACAAAATGTCACCTTTAGCACTAATAGAATCAAAATGGAAAATGTTTTTAAAAAATCTTAGCGCAATGCTGTAACTGTTTAATATTTTTCACTTGAAAAACTTTTCGCGGTTCACATCTCATGTTAAGAACTATAATTGTATTTGAAATACTATAATAAATCTTAATCAACAAGTTCTCTTTAACGTAATATTTTGTACGATACATGTATATATTTTTTTGTTGCAATATGTCTCTCTTGTTCACCCATTCTTCTTAAATTGCATTTAATTTTTTTTTTATGTGCCTAATTAAATATTACCTAATTCCATTTTTCATGAAAAATTTAGTAAAAAATAAGAAATAGCTGAAGGTCCTTACATAACATACCTTATAACAATAAATAAATATAAAAGAAAATCAAGGTTTGAAAAATATTTTTATATGACTAGAAGGTACTGGGCACTGATGGATGTGCCAAATTTTCGGCATGTATTATAAGAGACTGTGAGAAAGTATTATGCGGCGACTCCCTTACTAATATTATTGACTCATATTAAGAAAATTCAAGAGGGTATCTAAAAACCTCCTTTCTCATGACGCTTAAAGTCCTCTTTAAGTGGTATTAAAAGGAATGAACTCTATTTGAATTTAAAGTAAATTTTATCCAGTTTACTAAAAAATAATTGTTAACTACCTAAATTAAATATTTTTTATTTATCGCTTCCTAACAAACAAAAAACGAGATTTACTTTAAAAAACAACACAAAATTAAAATTGTCTATTTACTAGGGAAAATCGGGCCATGGTTTATATGAACATTATTGTCTTTCGAGGCGTACCTTTTCATCTCTTTAAATATTTTATTTTAGGTACAGGAAACTATCAACGTTGACCTGAGTTAACTCAAAATAAGTACAATGCGGATTGTTTCCTTTCCGTTAAATGCCTCCCAAATGTAAGTGTCTGTAAAACAAAAAAAATAAATAAATAAAATAAAATGAAAAGAAGATATAACTTGAAAAAAAAAGTAAATTAATATAAGTAAAAAAAAAAAACATCCGAATCTTTCCTTAAAAAAATTAAAATTTATTTTTAAAATGTAACACGTAATCACATTTATATTTTATGACCGTGTTTGTAAGTAATAATATAATATAATATAATATATATATATATATATATATATATATATATGTATATATATATATATATATATATATATATATATATATATATATGTGCATAATTATGGGGGAGAGAGAAAGAGAGCGAAAGGAGAGTGAAAGAATACGTTTTACATTAATAAGGTCTGATTTTTTAAAAGATAAATATAGCATTTCAGATAAGATAATGCACTTTCATTTCTCTTATCGAACTATAAGTGTTTATATTAAACCCAGAAGTGGCATTAATATCTCTTATATGTTAATTAAACATTGAAAATAACAATTAATAAAAATCAAATTTTAGAAATATGATTGTTATAAAATTTTACAATTTTTTTTTGGTCTTATTCAATTTTTTTTAACCTCTATTTTTCGTAGTAAGTACTTAAATGAAGAAACATATTAAGTTCTGATCGCACTTAAATCCACCTTTTACTCATTTTTACATATTTCGTGAATTGTAATATTTTAATGAACAATAAAGTTCATAATATACTGTTCAATATTCGATTTATACATTAATGTTACGATAGGGATTGGAGTACTGATATTGGTAGCTCAGTGGGTAGGGCACTGATCTTCCAATGACCTAGGTTCGCATCCCGGCTCAGAGCAGAAAATTATTTTTTCTATTTCATCAGCCGTGGGGCGACCTAGGGGTCAGGAGACCCTCCTGGGGGACATTCAGTCTCTATTAATTTAATAACTAATTAAGAGGGGAAATCTGGTGGTTGGGCGTGATCTCAGTCAAATCACCTCCTTGCACAACCGTTGACTAAGAAACATAAGTTCCCTAAATAGTACTGAACCCCAAGACCAATCATGGTAGTGGTACAGTTTTTTTTTTTTTTTTTTATTTAATATTACGATACAATTATAATATTAATATTATATTGTACCTTGGGAGATTTAAGTAATGTAAACTAACAAGCGATTAATAAGTTTTAATTTAGATGGATAAATTCGTTTACGACGTGTATGACTAAAGCTACTTGTTTCTCATCAATAGCTCATGATCTTATCACTAAGATAATTTTGTTTGATATTGAGCATTATACTAACCGCATTATGTTCAAAAAGTACCGAATTACAGCGACCTCGGATTAAACAAAGTGACAGATAAATCTTGGAACGTTCACCTTTATTGGCATTGTTAATTATACCCACGTCCTTGAGGATTTTAGAAAATAACAGAACACTTGAAGCGATTAAGTAATTTAAACGTTATCAAAGCCGTCATAACCGCCTGTTCGAAACTAAATATATAGCAATCTTCTTGATTCGAAGTACTAGAAGACTGTCCACCTCTGTTACAGGATGTTGGTAGGATCAACTAGCCGTGTCGTAGCCGGAAGGAAGGCTCTCCAGATGGTCTACTGGAGGACTTCCAAGAAGAACGGAGAGATGATTAAGACGGAGAAGAACATGGTATATGGCCAGGACACTCCAACCCCTAGCATGGAATCCGTCAACAGACCCATCTGGGTTACAACGAACAGGAGTATGTTATACAATTATCTTAATAATATTTTAATTATGTAGAATAAGTACATTTTATTTACTTAATATGTTTATAAATTATTTTAAACTAAACTAAGAGGAAACTGGTAAGTAGATTTTTTAAATATTCTTAAGAAAGGAAAAGTTGAAATATAAAATAAAAATTATCTAGTAAATTTTATAGTTAACGTTTCAGGCATCAACCCCCATCTTCAAAACTATAACAATTAATTTATGCTAAAATATCTGTACTATAAATACATTTCTTTAAATTATCCATATATTATTGTTGATATGTCCTTGTAATTTTGTTAAATAGTTATAAAAAAAGATAATTATGGAAATTTTATTGTCATTAATTTAAAAGACAAAATAAAATAACTTACCAAAAATAATAATAAATTGGGCTAGTAAACATGGCTGTCTATTATTATCATTTAACTCAAGAGGGACAACGCCTATATTTGGGTAACTCAAGGCTATATTATAAGCCAATCTGAATTCCTTTGTTAACATTAATTTTATTCTTTTGAAATTTATATAAACAATTTTTTTAATATCTGACTTTAATTATCTAAGAAAAAACTGTGGCTCACTACATTAGATGCCACATTAATTTATGCTGAAATATCAGTACTATACATTTCTTTAAATTATCGATCTATTATTGTTGATGTGACCTTGTAATTTTGTTAAATAATAAATTGGGCTAGTTAACATGGTTGTCTATTATTATCATTTAACTGAAGAGAGACAACGCCTATATTTGGATAACTCAAGGCTATACTATGTCCAATTCTGAATTCCTTGTCAACTTTAATTTTTTTCTTTTGAAATTTATATAAGCATTTTTTTTAATCCCTGCCTTAAATTATCTAAGAAGAAACTGAGGCACACAAAATTAATTAATTTAACGAGGAACCGAGCACTCATAAATACCCATTTGAATCGTAAGACAATTTGATTACAAAATCGAAAAAAAAAAAAGTTGGCTACAAAAATATTGGGCCGTTTGGTCTATATAACTTCGTTATTTTGAGTTGTTCGGGTGGAGGTCAAACGGTCCAATATTTTTGTAGTTTTCCGGCCTTCAGATTGAAAACTTCCCAATTCGGAGAATTTTCCAGATAAAAAAATTGTAAGTTACGATGAGATGAAGGTATTCACGGAGTTTTAGTTGGATGTTAACAATTTGATGAAAAGGGATCTATGATAATTAATATTATTTCAAGGACTATTGTCTGTTTTCTATTTAAAAACAAAAGAGACGTGATCATTTTTATTTTATATTCCTCTAAATATTTAAAAGAAATATTTTATTTGCTGACAAAAATATTCCTAAATTGTCAATTTATTTACAGCTACACTCTACTTACAAATTGATACTGATTTTATTTTTATAAAAAACTAAAATTTTAATAAAATTTACGAAAAAATTAGAAACTTGATTTTTCGAAATGATTCTCGATATCAGTTTTTTGACCAATTTTTATGACGAACATTCTAATCTGCAACGATATCTGTAGCATGCTTGTTTTGGCATGATGTTATTTGTATTGTTCACGTGTATACGATATTGAGGTCAATTTTCTTTGTTTTACATGTTATATTTTTTATTTTAAGATGTGATAAATAAAAATAGATAAATATTCATAAAAAAAAATGTATAGAGGAATGCTTTAATTGTAGTGGGAAGTCTCCATATCATATAGAAATCCAATAATGATTATTTTTCGTTGAACATCTACAATGAAGAGAAGGATAGTTGGGGCGATCAGTAAAAAAAAAAAAAAAAAAAAAAAAAAAAAAAAAAAAAAAAAAAAAAAAAAATAATAATAATATTTATTTTTACAATTGCCGACGTCTCTATCTATTCTATCAATAGCGATCTCTTCGATCAGCCCTGATGAAGGTCGAAACATCGGCAAATGTTAAAATAAATATTATTATTTATGTTTTGCCAATTTTATTTTTGACTGATCACTCCAACTATCCTCCTCGTCCTTATTCACTAGAGCCAACTATCAACCCACAATATCTACAATGATTTGAAATTAAAAATATAAAGAACGATGAATTTTACTTATTTTTTCATTAATGTATACATTTTACTTTTATTAAAAGTTTTAAATCATTTTAGAGATTTCGCCAAAGCTGATTTAACTATAATAATAAATAATATTAGAAAATAAGGCTATGTAGTGTTACTAGATAAATTAAGAATATATATATATATATTCTTTATTCCTATATATTTATAATGTTATATTTTGTATTTTTCAGGAATTAACGTTGTGGAATAAATTACTGCGACTTCTTGAAATCTCGAATGGAAACTATGAACTCAATTGAAATTCTTCATTTAATATAAGATAAGAAGGAAATAGATAAAAAAAAAAAATGTATAATTTGTAAATATAATTTTGTATATTTTTATTATTTAATATATTAATGTTATTTGACTCTTCTAATTAGTTTTATTTCTAACGCTTTTATTTATTTTGTTGTTTAAGATTCTTTCCCATTTACAAAATAATAATCCTTGGTGATTTAACTTTTTTAATAAGCATTATAAAATTAATTCAAGATTGAAAGGAACCATGAAATAAATGAAATTACCACAAAGAAGTTTGATGTTCTGAGCCGAACCTGAAATTTCAACAACGCAAATAAAGTTATAAAAAGAAGATAGTGTGCTTATATTTGACTATATATATAATTGATGAATTAGTATAGTGTTAGCAATTACGAATTCCATGGATACATTTGCTAAGAACCTTCTGGTTTGGTATTAATAATGTAAGTCTAATGAGTTTAACACAAAACAAAACATGAGTACTCTCATGCTCAAGCTAATTGGGCTTTTCAGCGTAGCCATTTACAAGCACCACCTTATCATATCATTCAGTAACAGTTATTTTAACCTGTGTTTCAAGCTCTAAGAGAGTGGGGTAGCTCAATTGATGAGCTAAGGGACTCCATCCATAAAGTTGGTACCAAGACCTTCATTGGGCTGCGGGATAAACGTAACAGAATACAGACGACCTCATCACCTGCTTGTATAACAGTTGGTCAACAAAAAGTAATTCCTAACCAGGTACTAAATCCAAGACCCTTCACGAATTGTAGGGGGAGGGAGGCCCCTGTAGGGTCACTTTTTTTCGATTTATCGTTTATATCAGGAGAACCATGCGTTCTAACGATAAAAACGTTTTGTACAAATTTGTAGTCAATAACATTTTAACTACACTGATGCTATTCGTTTATATGCGATCTCGAATAATTTCCGAAACATTTATCCCTCAATAATCTCCAATTTTGAAATAACAAAATTTTGTCCCATGTTTTTATAGCAGATAACGCCGTCTTCGAGAGGGGGTAGGGCAGGATGAGACCGGGTTCCTCCTTGCGATGTGTATAAAGCCAATTAAAAATATATGATATATAATACCAAATAATACATACAAAAAATTATAGATGTAAATCCAACATATTTAACATTTAACATGAAAATATTAAATGGATTCTTCAAGCATAAAGAAATTCACAAATTCTCCTGGCACCAGCCCACTAAAGGTCTAAAATCAATCATAGATTATATAATCCTCAGGCGCACTACTAGGATAAAGGTGAACGATGTTAGAGTGATGAGAGGGGCGGAATGTGGTTCGGATCACTTTCTTTTAAAGAGTATTCTGAATTTTAAACCCCATAATCTTCTTAGAAACTCTCCTGTGACCAGAGGAATTTCAGACTCTCCGAAAACGATTCGATACTCAATTGAGAGTATGAAAAATCAAGAATCAGTAAAAGGACTGTTCCAAAGTCGACTGATGGAGAAATTGAATCATGAGAAAGATCTGAATGATCGGCTAAATTACGAAAATATAGTAAAGTGCCTGCTAGTTCAAATCGGGAATGATGTCATCTACAATTTGCAGTATGCCGATGATCAAGTCATAATCGCATCGGATCCGGATGATGTTAGCTATATGATGAGGAAGTTGCTAGACACGTATTCCAGATGGGGTCTGAAAATCAGTGAAAGTAAAACAGAGTATATGGTTTTCAACGCTCCAAATTTGCCCCTTGAAATTGATGACTGGACGCTAAATGTCAGCCAGCAGTTCAAGTACCTCGGATACTGGCTATCTTCAAAGGGTGGTAGTGAGGTTGATATCGAACATAAAATAAATAATGGGAAAAGAATAATAAGTTCGATAAATTCAACCCTATGGAGTAAAGAGATACGATTAGAAACTAAAAAGAAGATATACCATTCCTTTGTAGAAAGCGTAGCCACTTACGGATCAGAAGTCTGGACACTGACAAAAAAAGATGGAAAATAAGCTGCTTTCCATGGAAATGAATTTCTGGAGAAGAAGCTGTGGCATATCCAGAATCGAGCGGATCCCAAACGCAGCTATTAGAGACAAGGTCGGATGTCAAAAGAACATCCTTCACCTGATCGGGACCAAACGGTTAAAGTGGTATGGCCACTTAATGCGGATGGATGAGAACCGCTGGCCAAAGAAAATCTATAGCTATATGCCACCTGAAAGAAGGAAGCGTGGAAGGCCAAAGAAGAAATGAACAGAGGACGTGGAAGAAAGCATGGCAGCCAGAGGGCTTCGTGAGGGAGATTGGATGGACAGGGAGCAGTGGCTTTTGGGTGTTGGGGATATGACTCCTTAAGTTGTGCAAAACCCAAATAAAAAAAAAAAAAAAATCCAACATACGGTTTAGGACTATTGGTGTAGTACCGCGACTAACTAGTAGCAACTCAGAACTGCGTATAAAATTGTAAATATCCAAACGTAATAGAAAATTATTTAATCAACTACAATAATCGGCACAAGTCTAGTGAATCTATAGATGAAGTGACAGTCATAGACATTCGGCGCCCCCGGGCAATGACGCCATCTTCCCTTTCCCCTTCGAAAATTAAATTGATTTCCTGAGATGTTTTATATTATATAATATTTGAATTTTATTCCGTTCAAAATTTCTCTAATACAGTTTTTTTTTTTTTTTTTTTTTTTAGTCCTTCCCTTCCCGCCTTTAAGGCTATACGGGATTTTCCCGGGCCAGGGAGTGTGGACGGGGATTTAAAAGACTCCCCCGGCACCGGGACGCGAACTCGTGACTATTTTTATATCTTTAATTCATTTGTCAGGTTGCCAGGCGACGGCGGTGCAGTGCACACGCTTTAACCCATTCGGCTACCCCGCCCACCTCTAATACAGTTGATTTATTGATAAGCTAAAATTAACTATTTTAATATTTTTTTTTATTTCTAAGAAGAGGCGGGAGCCCCTGAAGATGGGCTGGCACCCCCAAAAGGGTGCTCTTCTACGTCAGCGCTCCGGTTGCCCCGCCCTAAGGCCAGCACTGCATAAAGGAATTGATGAAAAACTGATTCAGTAAATCAACATGTTTAAACTATCATCAGTACCTCTTAAAGCGTCAATAGACAACAAAATATTTCGGACGAGGACATCAGAAGCTACACTGAGTGGCCATTTGCAAAATTACTCTGTTATCGGCTAATAAATAAATGTCCACCGTAAAGTAGGTTGGATCGGACGACCTCTATAGCAGATTCGGGATAAGGGCCTCGGGAAATCCGTTTTCTTCGATACCATCTTAGCCCTTTGTTAGTTCTTACCTTTTATGTAACAAGCCCTAACCTGTCCACGGAACTCCAAGGGCCTTTATTCATCTACGGTGCCCCTATCCGGCCATCTCTTTCTTTTTTTTTTTTCTCCTTCCGATCTTTTCAACAACACCCTTTTGAAGTCGTTGTAAAAGGTCAGGTTTACAACTTCAATTTCTTCGACGAAAGTATCCTTAAGAATATAGATTTTCTTTATGTTTTTATTCTATTAAGTACTAAATTTCTTAAGTCAGGCCAATATTCGGAAATATTTTTGGTTGAATAAATTGCCCAATCTTAATTTTTGGTAACTAATGTCTATGTATTTTATGCTAGACAAATATATTTTCTCAAAGGGTTACCAGATAACCTCACTAAGTGATAGAATGAATATAATGAAAATAAATACTGGGAATCTTTTGATCATTAAAACCGAGGTGACGTGTGTTACAATCATGCTAAATCATTATAAAATTGCTTATGGTATAAATAAATATATAGAAACTAATTATAGATTTTGGGTTTAGTATTGACAAGGTGTGGCCGCAGTCAATGGATCGCCGATTTCAACAATTTTTTTTTGTTGGCTATTCTATATCTAACATATTAGACACATGTCCTGCTATTCGATCTGAAGCTCATTAGGAGCCTAGGAAAAAAATATTTTATTAAAAAAAACATTATTTATTTCTTTTAGCCTGTGCTTTGTCTGGATTTCTAAGTTTTCAATATCCTTTTTTTAAGCAGAACTAGAAAAATATATTTCCGATGGTATTAAATGAGTTATAAATTATTGTAAATTACAAATGACTCTTATAGTAAAGTACGAAGTAAATTTTTGTAATGAAATGGCAATTTAGATTCGTTTTAATGCCCTTTAAAATTCTTAAATATAATTTTTTAGAGAAATAAAAAACATACAAACTTTAGTACTCGACATTTTACCTGCCTTCAACTAATGTATTTATAGTTCATCTGGATTTTCTTGTGAGTCAACGTCTTAGATTAGACCAATATTCCAGATCATTTTGGTTTAGGTAAACTGGTTTAATTGATTTGGTAGACTAAATTGGCCAATCCTGATTTTTAGCCACCATTATCTAATTATTATATCCTATATAAATACAATTGTCCAAAGGCTAACCAGGTAATCTCACAATAATGACAATTTGTCCCTGAATAAAAATAAATTCCTTGGGAGAAGACTACTACGTATTTTTTTTTTTTTTTTTTATCAAAACCGTGAAACGGACTCCCAGACGTTGATCGTAGTGGGCCAAATTTTTGAGTATTTACGTGGTTATGGATTTTGAAGGAAGCCATATTTTTGTGGAGTTTTAATTCTATGCATATCTTATACGTTATACCTTATACCCCATAAGTTATTACGATTCTTTTAGTATAATAAGATAAAATATTGTGATCATGATTAATTGAGAATCTGTGTCATGGTACAGACCCCTTTTTATCAAATTATTAACATCCGACTGAAACTTCGTAAATAGCTTCATTACTTATATCGTAACCAACAAATATTTTATTTACGAATGTTCTCTGAATTGGGTTTTTTTCAATCTGGAGATCGGCAAACTTTGTCTATTTATTTAGGTACTAAAAACTCGTAAATAACCATTTGCTTTTCACTTTGGTCGTAAGATAACTTCAGCACAAAGTCTGGGAAAAAGATGGCCTTCAAGAGGAATTAAATAAAATATTTGCAGCTTACGATGAAATGAAGCTATTTACGAAGTTTCAGCCGGATGTTAACAATTTGATAAAAAGGGGTCTGTCTGTACCATGGACTATGAGTATTAAGTGGAAATACATGTTGTTAGGTCTCCTCAGTCCAATTAATTAAGTCTCGCAAAATAGCCTCTACGTGCATACAATGTAGTGCACACATAGAATACAATGCATACAAGTGAACAATATAGAAAAAATGGACCCGAAAAATGGGGCAGTGTGTCAACGAAGAAAAAATCCAAAATCCTTGTTGTAAGGAAGAAGCAAGTTCATCCACTGCAGCACCTATGTCGAGGAAAACCACACTTTTCAAGCTCTGTCAAGCTTTTACCTATTTCGGATCCGAAATTAACGAGAGCCGTGATAGAGTTAAGTTGAAGAGATAGGAGCTACAATAATGGCTGCCAATAAAGCTTACGTTTCCTTATCGAGCCTTCTGA